TTTGAACTGCCTATTCCTGATTTAAACCATCTGCAGGCTCGACTTATAGACAAGATTCGTGAAATTAACAATACCCCGAGCATCTTAGAAAATGTCTTTAATTCTTTGAGGAACAGGTGTGAAAAGTGCTTGGAACAAGGAGGGGGACACTTTCAGCAGCTGCTTTAATTTATTGTTATAACAAGGAGGGGGACACTTTCCGCAGCTCCTTTAATTGTTTGTTATTGTTATCACGATTATTCTTTAAAATAAAGTTATATAGTCATTAACGTTATTGAAACTGACAGCTGCTATACAGCTCGTTGAGAAATGAGGTTAAGTTGGTCGCTATAAGCTACTCCCTACGTCCAATGTGTCAGAGCCAACTTCGACAACGTTTTTATTTGAACGCTCGTTAAAATAAAAAAAGTTTATTGTTGTAGGTTTTTGTTTTAAAAATTTAGTCAGTTCATGCCTTTTCTATAGGGGTGAACCGCTCGCCTATTGTATGCATCTATGACTTGCTGTGTGTAAATCTTATTTTGTGACAAACTATATTCGTGTAACTATTCCAACCTATGCGGATATTCAAAAAGTAAATATAAAAGCGTTGAGTATTTTACATATATTTTGAACGAAAAGGAAGCTTTCAATCATTACTCTTGCATATTTAATGAGACGAATTTCGTTCCCTTTTTTTATTTACCTCGACTTTTCGCTCGATGACGACGGCGTCGTTGGCTTTCAATTTTCCGCCGTCGTCCTTGGAAAACCGAATTTTAACGGTACGCCCGCCTAGTGTAGTGAAAGACGTGTCCTCCGTGACGTTAGATAGGTCAATGCGCGTACCCAACACCATGTGGTCCAGCAACAGCTTCTTCACGAGCTCCGGTTGATGGAGGAAGGTTTCGGCCCGTTTGGTGGCTGAGTTCTGGGGAGCCAGTATGGTAAATGGCTCTTCTGAAATAAAAAAAATATATAATAATGAAAAATTCAAGAAAAAACTGTAGATTTTTTATATTTTCATATGCACAATGTTATACTATACAGTATCATACAGTACGCGCTTAAAGTATGGAATAAATTCGGTAAAAACGAAACAATTTTTTTTTGGGGAGAAAAACAGGTCGATTTTTAATTTAAAAAATACAAATTTTAGCATAAAAGGCGATTTTCAACCATCATTTGTTCTCGAGTAATGACGTCATCGATTTTTTTTTTAAATAGCAACCTCCTATGTTTTCTTGATTTTGAAAGATCGTTTCATTGTCCATCCGACAGTATTAAAATTTTGCCATCTTACATAGGAAAGTTTTCGAGTAAATGACGATTGAATGTTAGAAAACCCAAATCAATTAAAATAAAGCAAAAACGTAATCAATTTATTAGTTTTTCGAAATGCCTGAATTTTATTATGGATCACGTAGGTGTAAATTTTTACTAAGTGTGACTGTCATACCGACTTTCTAAGTCTTGTAAGCGATATAAAAATTATTGTTGAATTTAAAGTATTATAGCACATTTAACTGTCACACAAAGAATTTAAATTTTAATTCTTATCGGATGCAGGGATAAGACTAGAACGCAGCAGGAAGTTTGCGATTTATTTGATGAAAAATATCCAGATCGCCTTATCAGCCAATCAACAGTAAGTAAGATAGAATCTAAATTTAGAGAAACTGGCAATGTTGTAGATATTCCAAAACCTGGAGGTCCAAGCGTTAGTGAAGATCACAAACAGAACATTTTGATAAGTATGGTAGATAATCCTCATAATACTTCACGATTGGTTGCATTAAACAATGAAATTAGTCAGACCACAGTGCTACGTATCCTGAGGCAGGAAAAATATCATCCCTACAAAATTCAACTTGTGCAGGAACTCAATGAAGACGATCCCGACCGCCGCTTACACTTTTGTGAAATTATGATGGATTTATGTCACGTAAATAGAGATTTACATCGGCAAATACTTTTTTCAGACGAGACCACGTTTTGTCTCAATGGTACAGTGAACCGTCAAACTTGCAGGTATTGGAGTCGGTAAAATCTTCATTGGATGTCAGAGACACATACCCAATACCCACAGGAATTAAATGTGTGGGCTGGAATAGTTGACAACAGAATAGTAGGGCCTTTCTTCTATGAAGGAACCCTTACAGGAAAAAGATATTTAGAGTGTTTACAAAATGACCTTGTTCCAGCGCTTGCAGTAATTTTTCCAAACGATAATGACTGATATTCCTGATGATACCATATGGTTTCACCAAGACGGTGCACCTCCGCACTATGCGCGCCCTGTTCGAGATTTTCTGGACAATTGTTTTCCTAGGAGAAGGATCGGCAGACGAGGACCGACAGAATGGCCCGCGAGATTCCCAGATCTTACACCCCTGGACCATTTCTTATGGGTCTACTTAAAGTCCAAAGTTTACGTTAATAGACCACATAATTTAGAAGAACTCCAAAATTGTATTATAGATGAACTACACAAAGTTACCCCATAAATAATTCATAATGTGCAAGAAGAATTTCTAGACAGACTTACGTATTGTTAAGAAGTCGGTGGGTGGCAATTCGAACACTTAATTTAGGTAGAAAATTTAATGAATTATATTTGCTGACATAGGAATTGTTATTTTTTTAATGAATAAAATTTACGTTTTCTAATTGCCATTTAATCGAAAACTTTCCTATGTAAGATGGCAACATTTTAATACTGTCGGATCGACAATGAAACGATCTTTCAGAATCAAGAAAAAAATAGGGGATTGCTATTTAAAAAAACTGTCGATGACGTCATTACTCGAAAATGAATGACGGTTAAAAATCGCATTTTATGCTAAAATATGTATTTTTTAAATTAAAAATCGACCTGTTCGAGGATTTTTCCCAAAAAAAAATGTTTCGTTTTTACTGAATTTATTCCATACTTTTGGCGCGTACTGTATAGTTTGAAAACCGCTCAACGGATTGAGTTGAAATTTTCAGGATCGCCTAATCATGTGCAACACTTTGTGTATAAGAACGTTTTTGAAAATTTACTGAATGATCCCATTCGATCGAAGTGTGATCGTGGCTTGTATGACTTAATTTTATGAAATAATCGAACGGCATAACTGGGATATTTTCAGCTAATGTCATTTAAGTGTGGTGCTTAAATATTCATGAGGATCCTGACGAGTGAAGTTGAAGAGAAAATCCGTTTCGCTTCGCGAACCCCGGGTTTGGCTGAACAAGATATCAACATCCATTATAAACTACAGCTGATCTCTAACGTAATAAATTAAGACTTCCTCTGGTGTTCCTGACTGATAAAATGATTGATTGCACTTGTGGAAACGCTTGCAGATTTCTCGAGTGGAGTGTCATGGCCCACTGAGGGTTTTGTCTAATGATGGAACTGAACTAATTCGCCAGCTTTGCAGACTCAATGAAAACTGATTTGGCTCAGTCGGGCGGCTAAATTAAGATTGAAATGTGACGGCGGGATCAGGCAGGACGGGAATTCTTGTAATGCTATTTTTAGAAAACGAAGAGATGGATTTGATGGACAGTTTAAGGTTCTAAATAAGGTGTTTCAGCTTCCGATCTCTATTCATCGAGCATCTGTTGTGTAGACTACTATTTTTGCAATTTCATGTTTTTGTTTATCAATATATCAATACAATCAATATATTGTTTATTGTTCACAACTTCTTTAGCAGATACCAAAAGATATTTGATTAAATAAAAGTACTAACAACTCTCAAACATTATAAATTATTTAATCATTTAATCAGGTTCAAAACGTATAATATGAACATTTTTTTTGATGTTCTATTACCCTGCTACTGTCTACTATTAACCAATTGCTGAAATATTTCTTCACAAATTTTACCATTTTCTGACAAATTTCTCGACTATCAACTATAGGAACTTGCTGGAAAAATTATCCTTAAATGAAAATGTCAACATATTTTAAGGTACTGAAATTCATCAAAATACATATTTTTTCAAAACTTGTCTGTAGTTCCAAATATTGTTTTCAGTATAAACTTACTTAGTACTACTGTGTTATGCATAAAATGTAATTTTTAGGCATAATAAAATAATTATCAGGATTATAAGCGATCTTTCAGTTAATTTTGTCGAGCAAAATTTAAGTGACAGTAATGAATAAACAGAAAATCAAGAATTTCATTCTTGTGCTTTTATCCTAGATGTTTTATTTTTTTTTAAATTGCGGTATTTAAAGATCTTGAATTCAGAAACATCTATAAGTGCAGGAGATTATTTTTTTTAGTCTGCTGTTTCCTCAACCTCCAACCATTAGGTTTTTATCTTCCTTTTTCGATGGATCTATAAATATTTCCAAGTTGTTAGTCTCGTCGGTATTTAAATATTTGTCTTCTGCCGTACAAGTCTAGAAGGCTGTTTTGACAGGAAATGAAGCTACACCAAGAGCTGGTTATGGTCCCATGAAGATCGACGCTGCATTCGCCGTTGGAAGAAATTTTCATTCCTTTGGAGACCTGAATAACCAGACACTTAAACCAGTCACAATGTCACTTACATACCATTCTTGTTTTCAGAGTTACTTAGCTATCCTTAAAAATTTTTATAGATCTGCTGATTTGTATAGATTCTGCTCTATAAATATCAGGTTTTACCGACGTTTTGGTCCTCGGATTACCATTATATCTTGTGATTCCAACAGCTTCTAGAATTATGAGGCTGTCTGTATAGCAACAGCTACCTGCCCCCAAAAGATCAATTCTGTTTCGTTGCCATTATCTCTTCCAGGGAAGAGAATATTACAGGGCAGTATGTAAATATATATTCTCTATATGCATAATAATTTGTTCTGTGGTTCTCCAATAATATGTGGTGGTAGCAAATTTATAGACGATTTCCAGAATAGCTAGTGGTATTGCCTCAGTATTCGCCAGACAGACATTTGTGTCTGTAAATCAGAGGGTTTGGCTTTGGTTGTTCTTTGAAAACTTTTATATCATCAGACTGTAGAATTATATGTAATCATAGATTTGATGACCATCACATATAGACTGTATAGTTATTTAGAATCTGCTCTAGTATATTCTACAAATATTCTTGTCTTGTGGAGTGCTTCTTTCGCATTTCTCCTTCAGTGGTGGTGAAGACAAATACAAAATCCATTCTATAATTCCAAATCTGAAACAGTTCCAGTAGCAATTCGTTAATGGAGTGAGAGTTTCCTTGCGATAAATGAATGTATTGTAGATTTACACTTAAACAACTAGCTGTTACTATTGGTCGTTGTTGGCACTGCTATTTAATTCGCATAAAGAGACACACTTTTGTGTTTATTTAATGAAAATTCCTAATTTTGTGCATATTATTGATGAGATTCCACCTTTTATTTTGAAGAAATGCTTGCATGCATTAATACATCCATTGGTTTATCTGGTTAACCTGTCATTTGCTGTTGGCCACTTTCCAGATTGCTTGAGGATGGGTAAATTAACTCCTATTTTCAAGAAGTATGACAGCAGTTTTCTGGAAAATTATAGGCCCATTACTTTTACTTCAGCATTTTCAAAGGTATTTGAACATGCCTTTTTACATAGACTGCATTCATTTATTGAAAAGAACAATATCATATCCAGTAATCAACACGGCTTCGTAAGCAGTAAGTCAACCACTACTGGTATGCATTCATGCTATGGTCGTATTGTTGGAGCTATAGAAGCTGGAGAATGCCCTGTTGGGATCTTTTGTGATCTCAGTAGGGCGTTTGACTGCGTAAATCACGACATCTTCGTTGACAAGTTGGAAAAATATGAGATTCGTGGCATTCCCCAGAAATGGGTGGCAACTTTTATTCGAGATCGAGACCAATATGTTGCTATAGATGATGTAACTTCCGAAATTAAAAAAGTCAATACAGGGGTACCCCAGGTTCGGTGCTGGGCCCTGTCCTGTTTCTTTTATACATT